GGGGGAGGCTATTTTATCTAGCAACTATTTGTTAAATAAAATACCCCGAAAGAAACTCGATAAGACTCCTTACGAGTTGTGGTATAATAGGAAACCTTCCTATAAATACCTGAAAGTGTGGGGGTGCCTTGCAAAGGTTTTAGCACCACCACCAAAGAAAATAAAGATTGGTCCAAAGACTGTTGATGGAATCTTTATTGGCTACAGTGGTAGCGCGTATCGATTCTCAGTGTATAGATCTGACAATCCAGAAATACATAAGAACACGATAATGGAATCGAGGAATGCAACATTCTTCGAAAATATATTCCCTATTAAAGTCGAGGGAAGAAGCAAGTTCGTCCAAACGTTCACATGATGAAATGTTGAACGATGGTTCCTCAGATCAGTCTAGTACCGGTATAGTTGATGAAACCGAAACTGAGACTGAACTAAGACGAAGTAAAAGGACACGAACTAAGAAGTCCTTTGGTAAAGATTTTCTAACCTATTTGTTGGAATTTGAATCGGGGACTCTATCATTTCTGATAGAGACTGAACCCGATATTCTAACATGTTTATTAGAAAATGAACCACGAACTTATCGTGAAGCAGTGACTTCGTCTGAAGGCCCTCAGTGGAAAGAGGCAATTAAAAGTGAAGTTGGTTCTATTATGCAGAATCACACTTGGGAGTTAGTGAATCTACCTCCTGGTTGCAAACCGTTAGGTTCTAAATGGATCTTTCGGAGGAAAATGAAACCAGATGGTTCCATTGATAAGTACAAAGCCAGACTTGTAATTAAGGGTTACAATCAACGTGAGGGCTTTGATTATTTTGATACATATGTCCCTGTGTCAAGGATTAATTCCATTAGGATGATACTTGCAATAGCTTCCTTGCGGAACTTAGAAGTACATCAAATGGATGTGAAAACAGCTTTCCTTAATGGAGATCTAGAAGAAGAGATCTACATGGAACAACCAGAAGGGTTTATAGTTCCTGGTCAAGAAAGGAAAGTATGTAAACTTGTCAAGTCTTTATATGGTCTTAAACAGGCGCCAAAAGTATGGCATGAGAAGTTTGACCAGGTGATGATGAACTCTGGGTTCAAAATTAATGAATCAGACAAGTGTGTTTATCTAAAAAACACATTCCAAGGGTATGTCATGTTGTGTCTATATGTAGACGACATACTCATAGTTGGTAGCGATGACAAGATGGTCAAGTCTACCAAAGACATGTTAAACTCGCGATTTGACATGAAAGATATGGGTCTGGCTGAAGTAATTCTTGGAATTAAAATTGTGAGAAGACCTGGGGGTCTAGCACTGAGCCAATCCCATTATATTGATAAAATCCTTGACAAGTTCAACAAGGATGACGTTAGA